GGCATGTGCACTCACTGGAGAGAGAGAGACAGAGAGACAGAGAGACCAAAAGCGAGAAGTCACCCCCCGCCCAGGGTGATGACCTCATTGCAATCCCTTCTCCTCCATCCTCCTCTCAGGATTTTTGGCACACACGCACTCGCACCCTGCATGAGTTTCAAGCCACCGGGTCTGGGATTCGAACCACAGTCAACTACATGGGAGTCCAGTGACATAGCCACTACGCCGCCCACTGGCCCCAAACACCTACTCTTTTGGCTGCATGAGGACGAGGTGTACTGTCAGACGGAATGAGAAGAGCCTGGTGCTGGCCACCAGTACCTCCAGGGACAAGCTGTCATTTCTAGGGACCTGCTCGCTCAGTTTACCAAGACCCACAAGTCCCAGGTGCACATCACAGTGCTGGCTTCCCTTGTACTTTTTTTTTTCTGTTTTTAAAGAGATTTTGGGGGCCAGGAGGTGGCGTGGTGGTTAAAGGTGCTGGACTCTCACATGGCCGACCACAGTTCGAGTCTTGAACCTGGTGGCTTGCTTTCTCACTTCCCCCCTTCTCTCTCTTTCTGATCAAACTGGAAAATAATAATCATAAAGTTAAATTTAAAAATGATTCTTTTTTTTTTTTTTTAAGAGATTTTTACTGTAGGGCGTGTGTGCTCTCCAGCGAGACAGAGAGACAGGAAGTAAGAAATCACCTCCTGAGAGGATGGCCACACCGCAATCCCTTCTCCTCCATTCTCCTCTCGGGATCTCGGGCATGCATGCACACGCGCCCGGCGTGAATTTTAAGCCTCTGGGTCTGGGACTTGAACCACGGTTAGCTAGGTGGGAGTCCAGAGACACAACCATTACGCCATCTGCTGGTTCCAGTACGTTGTACTTTATGCCACGTGTAAAGTGTGGATAAAGCTGAGGACAGAGCAGTCCTTCCTCGTGAGAACCATGTGTTGAAATCCAGACCGTTGAGCCCCTGAAGCTACTTCTCATACCAGGGAGTGGTGGTGTCCTCCCCAGCAGACGTCCCTTTGGGACTAGGGGTGGCCACAGAGTTTACACGAAGCTGCAGGCAAGTGGGTCCCGTGGCGATCGTGGGATATTGTCAGGCAGACGCTGGGGAATACCAGGTTGTGTGAAGAGACATCCACTTAGGCAGAAGCCATCCCGAGGACTTCCCGCTGGCTGAAAGGGCCGGGCTCACTTCCTGTCTGCGTAGACGCCTCTACCGCCCTGCAATTCATCCACACGGTGACCTCTGCAGAAACTTCTTAGCTTCCTCTTCCCTTGGCCACTGAGAAGGGCATGCCGGATCCTCAGGCAGAAAGGGCTCTAATATGGAGTTTCAGAACCCGGCATGGTGACTAAATAGCATACTCAGTTTACCCGAGGGCTTCTTGGTTTGAATAACAGCTTAGAAACTGTTGAAAACGAGAACCAGGACTGATCGTTACCTGGGAGACCACTAGACTCAGTAAGAACGCAGAGGATATTTTCTGTTCTTTACTAGTATCGCATTACCTGAACAGGAGGCTGCGTCTGGTTTTTGTTTTTGTTTTTGTTTTAGTTTTGGTACTGGGCACGTGTGTTCACCAAAGAGACAGAGACAGAGAGGGAAAGTGAGAAATAACCCTAAGGGGACTGGACATAATCTCTTCTCTTCCATCTTCCCCTCGGGATGCTGGGAATGCACACACAGGTGCCTGGTATGCTTTTTATTTTATTTTTTTATTTATTTATGTTTTTGGAGAGGTTTTTGCTATAGGGCACGTGCACTCACCAGAAAGACAGAGACAGAGAGAATGTGAGAAATCACACACTCCCCCCCCAGGGGGATGGCCACGTTGTAATCCCTTCTCCTCCATTCTCCTCTCGGGATCTTGGGCACGCACGCACACATGCTGCCGTGAGTTTAAGCCACCGGGTCCAGGACTCGAACCGCAGTTGACTACATGGGAGTCCAGCGACATAGCCATTACGCTAACTGCTGGTCCCCGCCTGTTGTGTGTTTCAAGCCACCAGGTCTGGGATGTGAACTGCACAGTCAGCCGGGTGGGATCCAGCCGGCCTATTATCTGTTGTGGTAGCACCCTGAATTCGCATCTCTCTCTCTCTTTAAGAATTACTTATTTAATTTTATTTATTATTATTATTCAGGTTGACCAGAGAGAGACAGCCAGAGAGATAGAGAGAGGGAGGGAGAATGAGAAAGCTAGCTGCCAGGTCCAGG